AGGCAGGCAGCAGCAGCCGTGCCCCTGCCCCAGCCAGGGCTCTGAGGGACAGAGAGGTTCTGCCAGTGCCCCCACCCCAAAACAGCTCCCGGGGTTTTGCTGAAGGAACAACTTCCATTCATCCTGGGCAGCCCTAGGGATTTGGGTGGTTTTGCTCATTTTTTTGCCATTCTGTTTGTGGAATTGCAGTAGAGGTGGGAGGGTGATAGTGTTTCTTTGGAGATCAGCCTTTGAGGTGGGGCAGAGCTTTCTCCTGGACTGTGTCTGTGGGGCAGTGTCAGCATGGACAAGCTGCAGGGCAAGTTAACTGGTTGAAGGAGAACTCGGCCAGAAATTAAACCACAATTGCACCTCTCCCTGACACGCTGCTGCCCGAGTGTGTCTGGGAGCTCCTGACCCTGCTCCCAAAACCAGCAGCAGGGTGGTTTCACTCCAGCCACCCTCCTGCAGCACCTCCTCCCTGCACGACTTGCTGCCCTCGCCAGGATGGGGTGATAGGACTAATATGACCTCTGAAAAGTCCCTTCCAACCAAATGCATTCTATGAAAAGCAAATGCCAAGGAGGTGATGATGACCTGTGGTGAAATTTCCCTGTAGCCCTACTCCAGAACCCTGCTGTGTGCACGTGCATCAGTGCTGGCTGCCTGTGGAACCTCCTCGTGCTTAGAAGTCCGTTGCATCAACCAATTTTAACCTCTTTAAAAGGTAAGGGTTTATATTTATGCATGAATATATTTATTTAAATACTCTTAATATTTACAGTGTCTGTTTCTGCTAAAAATTGTGTCATGTACCATCAGAAAAAAGGATGAAACACAAATACAGTAAGGGTGAGACATAAATCACAAAAGCAAGGGTGGTAAAGAGTTCAGGCTTCCAGGGTATGCTGCTCCTGCTCTCTGTCTGCTGCAGAAGTCCCCTAAATTCCCTTTGTGGGAAACCATGCTAGTTTTCTACATGGAAAACTATCATAATGGACATACAGTTAAATCCTAACCTGACTTAGTTGTAAGAAAATAAAGGTACATCCTACTGCTACCAAGATTAACTACTGACTGTATATAGCGCCTTTAATCTGAAGTTCTGAAAGTGCTTATAAATAATGAACTAACCCCCCGGCGAGGTAGGTGAGTGTTATTGTCCCTATTTTACAGATGGGGAAACTGAGGCATTGGAGAGGCTGAGTGACTTGCCCAAGGTCACGGGTGAGTCAGTGGCAGAGCTGGGAGCAGCCCTCAGCAGTCCCCTCAGCCAGCCCTCTGCACGCTTCCCTGCAGGGACCACACTGCACATCCTGAGTACTGACATACTCACCAGCACGCCTCTCACCTACGAGTGCAGTTACCCCAACAACCTGCAGAGATCCAGCACTGGAATTCTTGTGTCTGAAACAGTTCTGTTCCTCTCTGACCTGAGTGCAAACAGCTCCTAGCTCTGCTGGATGTTCTTAACCCTGGATCTTGTTTGTGAGCTTTTTAACTGGTGATCATTTGTAAGGGTGCTGCTTTAAGAAGCCATGTGAAAAGGACACTGAGGATGGGGGATGAGGAATTAATCAACTTCAAGAGTCAGACACCTAAAGAAAGGGCAAGTGGTGGAGGTCTCTGTCATTCCTAATTCCAGACTCCTTGCCTATGTCTATGATGATTATTGAAGCCCACAGATTAAAGGCCAGGCACGTACCAGCTGGCACACAGCTGTGCACCCTGAACCCAAGCCAAGGAAGTGTCTCTCCTGGCAGGAGAAGCTCAGAGTGTCCCCCCAGCTCCTCCCCTGGTCAGCCGCACAGACAGCACAGGAGGAGCTCACCCAGTTCTCTGAGGGAAAGAAAAGTTCCCACTGAAGTGTGTTTTCCTTTGGAGCAACTGAAAATGGACAAATGCTAGTGAATCCCAAATACTGTGCCTGCAAGTGAGTTAAACCCCTCTGAGGTTTGCTTATGAAATGTATTTTTCACAAGACACTTTAATTTCCCTCCCCTGAAGCTCCTCTTTTAGAGTAATAATTCACCAGCTGCTCTGAAGCCTGTTGCTACCAAAGGGGCTGCGCGGATGCAATCAAACAGGATTTTGCCTTTTGGGGGACCAGTCTGACAGTTCTGCAAGCTCCTGGACACACACATTACTCACTGCCAAATCAAATGTTTGTCTCTGAATTCCAAATTCAGCTCAGACTCGCTCCTAGCTGGGAGCTAGGAAGCATCTGAGTCATGGAGCAAATCCCAGGGGAGCTCCAGCCAGGCAGCCACGTGCCCTCACCTCTCATCCTTAACAGAACATTGTGGGGAGATTCTGGAGACTGGGTCATCCAGCGTGGCCCTTCCTGCCCCTGCCTGGCAGGACACAGCAGGGGAACGTGGCTCACAGTTTGCACAGAAGGGATTTGTGCTGCCTGGTGTCATATTTGCATTTTTGGGGGCACTGCTGTGGGATCCATTGTCTCATTTTGCTATCTGTACTTGGTAACACAGTGCTGCATTTGGGTGACAGAACAGAGTCACCTCCAGTAGCAGTGTTCTTGCTCTCATGGAAAACTTGGGAAGCCCTCCCACTGTCCAAGGATATGCACCTGCTCCTGTCCCAGCCTCCAGATCAGCTGATGTCATCTCCATAACCATACTGGAATTGTTTTCATTCCTACTCCTTTCACAGGAAATACCACAAAGCTTTGCTGGCCTCATACCAAGCAGAGTTCATAAACGTGAGGCATAGAAGGATTCCAGCCCTTCCCTTCACCCCTGTAGCAGCTCTTGCTGATGCTCATCTCTCCAGAAACGTGTTCAGTTTGGTTTGTTCAACCTCAGGGGTTTTACTGGGAGCTGCTCTCAGTTGGTCCTGACTGCAGCCCTCCTGTGCCCATGGATTTGACTCCTAAAAGGCAGAGGTGCTGGATTTCTTCACAGATCATCAGCGAGCTGCTTGTGGCCCTTGGGTTTTGCAGGTCTCCTTGTGTAACACCAGTGTCAGTTTGCCCAGCCTTCCACAAAGGCAGAGGAGATGCAGGCTGCAACGACAACTCTAACCCTGCAATTAGTACAACAGCCTGAAATGGGTTGATACAAAAATGCTTTTCACTCTCTCTTAACACATCTAGAGGCTTGAATCTCTGGGGCTTTACACTGCGTGCTGTACCAGGACTGGTGTCATTTACAAGCAAGGAATACACAGACATCTTCGAGTCTCTGCTCCTAGTTGCTGATTTTTCTTGACACCAGAGCTGGCCTAGAGCCATGGTCTCCACTGAAAACTTCCCACCAGCCTGGTGTCTTGGCATCTGCAGCTCTGCTACAGGAGCTGGCTGTGATGTAGGACAGCCCAGCAAAGTAGTTTTGCTTAGCAAGAGGAGGGAGCCAGGTTTAAACCTCAGGCAGAGTATCTAGCTGCAGGCATCCCAGCGTCCAGCTCTCCTGCAGGAGGCTGCTGTAGTGAGGAGTTCCCCCCTGGCCTCTGTGCTGCCAGGAGAGCTGCTGCTGCTGCTCCTGCCCCGTGCTGGCAAAGTCTGACCCCTGCCAAGGGTGGCAGGTGCAGATTTTCCAGCATCAGGCTTTTACAGACCTCACAGAAGAGGTGATTTTTGGCAACCACCCTTGGGATAGCTCCAGCTGCTGTAACCTCTCCTGGGAGCAGCGCCCTTGGCGTGGCTGCACGAGCTCAGGGGGAAGTTCTGCTGGGCTCCAGGAAAGCAGCTGACTAACCACAGCTCTGAAGTGCTGGTAAGAGTGTGCCAGTTGTCTGTTTCTTAGCAACACCCCAGAAGAAAGTTCAAATATTGCATCCTCAAATTTAAAAAAAAAAAATCACTGTTAAAAATTTGATCATTTTGCCCTTGATGGGGTTGTCTCCTCTCCTCTCTGATGCTCCTCAGGACAAAAGCAGTGACATTGCTAGCCCTGGCCAGACACTGCCACAGCTGCAGAAATAACAGAGAACCTCTACTGCCACCTCACTCCTTTCTGCTTCCCCTTGGAAGAGGAACTGCAGAGACTTTCTGGGCTGCCAGGTGCAGCCTGAGCTGCTATTGCTTGGGTCCCTTTTCAGAAGTGCAGCTCACAGGCCCAGGGAAGATGATCTCTTTTAGTACCTGCCATACACCAGGAGGATGGTTTTCTCCCTAAAGCCTGACATCCATCCAAGAGGCAGCAAAGAGTGAACGCAGCAGTGGAAGGAAGATCAGGGGTTTCAAAAGCCAGATAGAGCTCCAGGGTGGGGTGTAAGGACAAGGCTCAGGGCTGGGTTTTGGTTCAGCCCATTAGCAGTAGCAGAACCACACTGAGGTTTGTTTCAAGCAGCCACAGATGGTTTGGGGTCACAAGGCCAGGTGCTGGCTTCTGCTGTCAGCCTAGCTGGGAGATCATTCTGCTCCCTACAGGGGGAATTTCTGACAGGAACTGGGTATGTAAGCAGATCCTAACGTGTTGTAGCTGGATGAAGGGGTTCTCTTACTCAGTAACAATTTACAACATTAATATAATAACCTGAAGAAAACCCACACACAACCAAAAGAATTGGAGGTCGTATTGCTTAAAGAAATCAACAAGCCAGTTAGAAGTTGAAACCCTTTCCAAAATATTTTCAGTGTGGTTCTCAGCCTCCTGCCAAGCCACTGCTCACCAGCTGGTCATGTGGATGAGGAGAACTGAGCAGGATGCAGAGGAGATTTGTGCTGGGTAGTGGCAGTGGTAACCCAGTGTGGTGGGGTGGTGGTGGGAGCACTGGAGATATCCTTTACTCTGCCACCAGTCTGTGGGCTTTGAAGACAAAGACTTGCAGCCAAAGGGATTCCTGTGGTTCATAGTGACCTTATAAATGGTGAGACCTTCAGTTTAGTTGTGAGTGTAAAAAAAAACCAAAATTAAAAAAGGTGTGGATGGCTATAAAATAGGCTGACATAAATAGCTCTACACCTTTTTTTTTCACCTGTGGACAGAAGGGAATGGGATGAGAGCAAACAATGACAAACAAGTGGCTGAGTTTCCCAGCAAGTGCTAGGAGAGCTTTGCTTATAGGCGAGTCGTCACGTGCTCCTCCTGCCCATCCTTCCACTGGTTCATGAACAAGTCACATGCCTCTCCCCACGAATCAAACACATCCTCTGACGAGTCTATAAGTTTGGAATTAGAGGAACAAATACTGGAAGCACAGTGAAGGGAGCTGGTACAAACCACAGGGCACTCCTTGCTCTGTCCCGTGTGTCTGGTGTTCCCGCTGTAGTCCACCTCACTGAGGTTAATTTCACTTTGGGAACAGTTCTCTTCCTTCTCTTTCTCAATGGGAGAATATTTAATGTCTTTCCACATGTAGTGTGGCTGGATAATCCCGTCAGAGATGGTGTACATGGGTTCTGAGTTTGGCTCTGGCACGTGCCCGTTCATCCTGGAGAAGAGCAGGCCCAGTCTCTTGAAGGACTCCTTCTTGGAGCTGGAGAGTCTCTGGACTCTGTTCCCGTTCCGGACAAAGGAGCGCTTCCCGATCCCGTTGCTCTTTGGCTTCTCCTCCACCATGTTCATCCCAGACATGGTTTTAATTAGAGCAGAGACATTGAAATCCTTTTTTTTGTTGGCTACATTGAAAGACACGCTCTTGGCTTTGGGTTTTTCTCCAGCACCATCTTCATTTGCTTCATCCTTCTGGGACACCTCTGTGCTGCTGGTAGAATAACTTCTCCTCTGGGGCTTCCTGTTTCCTAAGAGGTCAAGAACCTCATAGCGAAAACTTGAGATGTCCTGTTTCAGTTCCTAGGGCAGGAGGAGAAATGAGTTAGGCTCAGCAGCTCTACCTGTGCCATGAAAGAATGATCCCAGTCTCTTGAGAGACATGGCTGGCACCAAATCACACTGGCAAGAACACCACATACATCCCCATCCTTCCGTGACACACACAGATGTATTGGTAATCCTGACAACTGGAGACCTCACCAGAGCTTTGGCTCCAGCCCTCTCTGCCCACCACCCCTCAAACAAATTAACTCATTATAGAAGAAAGGAAATTGCTCAAATTTAGAAATATGGAAGGAACAGCTGATAGGAATAGGAAGTTCAGTTGATAGGCCCGACTTGAAGTTTGTTGGTGTTCTTGGTATCTATTAATCCAGACTCATTCTATAGCTCTGTCTGGGTTGGGATTAGGAAGGTGATGTTGATTGACTCCAAGTAGATATTTCATTCACCTTTTTCCCATGCTTTTGTCTACATAACATATTGTATATTAAAATCTGTGAAGTGAATGTATGAGAAGACACTCAACATTCTCTGGTCAAAATACCCCCACGTGCACATTGTCTGTCTTCCCAGCTGCAGGAATAGTCCTGTTTCCACAGCAGGTTACAAACCATCTTAACAAGTTAGTGTGAACTCTGCAAGTGGTTATTTAATATAATAAATTATTATTAGGGAATAATTACCTTGAAATTTTCTTCAGTTAAACCTTCGTTGGTTTTGGAAGTTCTTATCATTGCTGCCACGTATCTCTTCACAAGATTCCTTATCACTTCCTGCAGCAGAAACACCAGGAGTGATTTAACTGCTGGCTGAGACCCGAGTGTTCTTACTGACAGTGGCTCTCCTGACTCTGCTGGCTGCACAGAAATCACTCACCCCTAGGAACAGAACAAACCCTTGGAAAGGGTTTTATACCTTCCCCTGTGAACACTCAGTTAACTGCACTGAGCAGGTCTCTTGTGCTCACTCTGTGTATGTGAAAGTCACTGAGAAAAAATTCTTGATGTTCTTAAATGTCCTCAAACCCTTTTCATCTCAGCTGCTGCAAGATAGCCCATGTCCTGTGCATATGCTGTGTATCCTGACATGCTAAGCTTGCCAACTGAAGATGGTTTCTCAGGGCACATTGACAACAAATAACCTGAAGAACAGCCAGGACCCCATGGTCCTGAAGTCAAGTGCTGAAGCTGGTGTTTTTACTACAGTTTCATCCTTTTGTAGGCTGACTTTAATGAGTGCTGGATGACAGACAGGCTGGAATAAACAAAACCAGCAAAATTCAACAAAGGAACCACTCCTCCTTCCTGAGCTGTCCAAACCAAAAGAAAACTCCCACCAGTGTCTGAGTTAGGGATGCTTTACAAAAAAGAGCAGGAGAGGAACAATTCAAGGGGTGTAAAAATGCTGCAGGAACAGTTTTGATCAGGATAGCTCAACAGCCTGGTCCCTCTGATGGCAATGGGGATGTCACCCTTGACTTAAGCAGCCAGATGGATACCTGGTGAGTTTTCCACTACTTAGAGGGAGTGAAAGGCTAGGAGTGATTTAATGAAGCAGCCAACCCCTACTGAGGACATGTTCTCATCTGTGATAATCAAAGTCCTCTCAGGACACCTACATTTATCCAAGTATGTTCTAGAAGCAAGCAAGAATTGAGGTATTAGAAAATGAGCAGGAAGAAGAAAACAGCAAGTAAAATTTTAGGTGCTCAGGAGTTTACCTGGTAATGTTGATTCTGAATCAGGTTGTCAGCGTGTCGTTCCTGGAAAGGCAAAGGCAGAGATGTTACCCATTTAGTCCTCTCTTCAGAGCTCCTGGTGGCCCTTAGCAAGTTCTCATCCAGCAACCTTCTACTGCACCAGCAGAGCAGTGCCCCTCGTGGTCCTGAACCTGCACAAACACCCTCAAAAAGCAAAGTGTAAAAGCATGCAGCTCCTTACTGTGAATGTTTTGAGGTTTTCATGCCTCTTCTGTTCGTTGTAAGAGTCGTTGCCTGGACACAGCTGATTGTGGATCCACTTGCAAAGGTACCAGACGGACTTGGGGCTTGGGACGATGTTAAACGGGGGGGGCAGGGTGGCACCTTCATCAAAGTAACTCATCCAGAGCTTCGTCCGGGCGAACTTCCACTCGATATCTGCATGGTCCTGCAAGAGAGGGAAGGAGGCTGTCAGGTGCTTCAGGCAGGCTCTCCTGGAGCAGATGGCCACGGCTGAGGAGGCAACGGGAACGTTAAAGGATCTCTCCAGCTGCAGGCAAAGCAGCGTCGCTTCTTCCAGCTCCCTCGCAGGGGCTGTACTTGAAAATATCAGAGTGAAATGGAGCTAGAGTGTAAAAATACCAGCCACTGACAAATGCCATTAGAGCAATAGTCAGCAAAAAGAATTTCCCATCCTGAAGCCCAACTCTGCCCTTTAGATGTTGTGCTTTAATTAGTTCAGCAATACAAGAAGCAAGAAAACATATTGCTTGCTTTGCTTTTTGCTAGCACTTTTATTACCACAAACTGTTGTTTGTTATGTCCAAGTCCACTGAATTCTCACATTTTTCCCTGAAAAAAAAGATCTTTTGGTTCTTTTTTTGATTTGTTGGGTTTTTACAGCATCCATTAATTCTGCTCTTAAAAGGAAGCGACACATTTTACGTGTGCCATATTTTACATCTTGCCTCTGCCTTATCCTTACACAAAACAGGAGACATTTTACTGTTTGGGTTTTGTTTTCCTGTATATTATCACCACGCCAGCTTGCTGTGCTCTGCTGGTTTTCATCCCCATAAAGTACAGGTGGAAAGTTAACAGCATCATGTTCCAGCTCCACAGCTGGGCACAGGGTCCGTGCAGGCACCAGGAAGGAAATCTTGAGTCTATGCCAGACACGGACCTTACAGGCTGCAAAATGCTGATCCCCAAATCAAACTATTTGCAAGCTGATGGTTATGACATTTGAGCTGTTCAGCATTTGCTTCAGCAGTGTCTGACAGGAGCTCAAACCAAAGCCAGGATGATCCAGGCTAAGTAACAGCACAAGGTGGGGGAAAAGGACAATGCAGGATTTCCAGTTTCTGAGGAAATTTCAGCCAGGTTGGAACCAGCAGCTCTCTTGAGTGAGGGACGCTGGCCTGCAGGATGGCAGCTCTCAGAAACAAGCACAAGTGGAGGACAGGGAGATTAATAAAATATGGCTGAACATCATGCCCAAAATATTACTACATTGGCTTTCTGGCCATGCTCCAGTGCTCTGACAGGGGTGAAATATGCTCACATCCTGACAGCAACGTGCAGCTGAACTCCACTTCAGCAGCACATTCAAATTCTGTGCAGCTCTCCAGTTAAAGTGCTGCCTCAGTGGCCCAGGAGCACATCAGTCTCTGCAGATGGTCTGAATCAGCCCAGAACAATATTGTCCTCTGCCAGCTCACCACAAGGGCTGTGCTCAGGCCGTAGCAGGCTCAGAGGAGCAGCCTGTCGTGCTCCTTTTGTCTCAGTACATTATCACACCCCAGGAGCAGGGGAAATGGCAGCGTCCCTGTGTAGCATTAGAAGCTGATGGTGGTTGAAAAGAAGGTTTAGGTAATAAAAAAAATGCAGTTTGTGGTAGTAGAAATAACTACCACCAAAAAAAAAAAAAAAAAAAAGCCTCATTTTTTTCTTCATTTGTCTCTACCTGCAGCAAACTCAGCAGAGCTACAGGACTGGAGAGCAGGACAACCCTGAGCTGGTGCTCTGAGCTCCACAACCAGCCTGCAGGACAACACCTGCCTAATAACTGGAGGGGAAGAGCTGCAGGAGAGCAGCGTGGAGTCTTTCAAACCCATTTCCTCAGGGTGTGCAGAACTACAGGCACCTGGCAACACTCACAGCACTATCCCCACACAGAGGAGAGAGTTTAAGGAGGAGCAATAACTGCAGGAGGGTGCAAAGACTTGGACAGAGAGATGTATACCTGAAGTTCTTTGTCAATACAGAAGTAGGTGTAAATGTGCTTTTGAGTAGTCAGAAGGGAGAGGGTAGTTTGGAGGAGGTTACAAATCCACCCTTCCCTTCTACGAAGGCCCCTCACAGGTCCAGTGTCAGTGGAGGGATGGGATGAGCTGTGGTGACTGGGCAGCAGTTCCTTTCAGGAGATTATAGCACAGAGCTGATTGGGCAGTGGATGTTGGAAGCTGTTTTTAGAGGAGGAGAAGGCAAATCTATAGCTTGGGGATTACCAATAGGTCTCTGGGAAAGGAAGGAAGAAGAGGGCTAAAAATAGTTTTCTGCACAGTGTTTTCTTTCTGTTCTTTCATTCTGAAGCAGCTGAAGGGACCTACATGGGCTTGACTGGGGCTGAACATGGGTGCAGCATTCCAAACTTGAGCAGGAGTTTCTCACTGGGGAAGTTTTGTGGTTGGTCTGAACAAATCCCTGTTGATCTAAATGTGTCTTGGGTGAGGCTAGTGGATGCTGGCTTCAGCCACACACCTTTCTTCCTGTGCAGTCTCAGTCAACAAGTGCAATATAACCTCTCTTAAAAGACAAATCCTTCTGTACAAAGCTCAAAGTATCTTTTCTTTCCCTTTCTTTTCTGCTGCTGTGAATTCCCCAGGGTTATAAACTCAGCCTCTCTCAATTATTCTTCTTGATGTTTTGAGAACCTGAGCAAATCAGATGAGAGCTGCTGGCAGCAGTTTTGTGTTGGAAATATATAGCAAAGAGACATTTCAATTTTACTGAGAACATCTTTGTGTGCCAGGAAACCACCATTTCCTTGGTAAGAGCTCTCTTTAGTGCTGTAAGCTGTGAAATTTGCACACAAAGCTACAGCTTCCCTAACTCTCCTCCCACTGTTGAGTAGCAAGAGAACCACGCTTCAGCAATCAGCCAGTACCCAAAGCAAACCTGAAGCATTCATGCTTTTAGATACCAACTTTTTAGTAACATTTATAATAAGCTAAAGAAATTGAAATCCACGTTTGGGTTTTGCTGTCCTCTTTGAGCTTCTGTTGCTCTTGCCCTTGTTCTTGTCACCATTTTCTTTCAAGCACTGCTCATCATTTCAGCTATGGAACACTCTGCTTCTTAAGAGAGCCAAGCCCTCAAGTCAAAGAACATGAACTCCAAGAAACCAGCACTCGGCTTCTCTGTGAGGAAGAAAACCAGCTGTATCACTTACTGTCACAAAGTGAATGTGTCATACTGGCCACATAATCCCCTTGCAAATCTCTGCCATTTGAAGTGAGAATTAATCTCCCATAAAGATTTCCCTGTGGGATCACTGAAGGCATCTTCCTGCAGCAGTCACAAGGATTTTCTAATTCAGCCAAAGTGATGTATTTACAGATGTGCCAGATTTTAAATAATTACCTGCTACACTAATTATCCAGGATAATTCAAGCATTAATCTCCATCTTTATCTCTGTGTAGAAAAGTCTGTTGTTTACATTTAATGAAATGATTTCTAGAAATATTTCTACCACCATCTCCTTGCTGGGCCACATGGTTTGGAAGGTACTTTGCCAAGTGACAGCCAGCTTCTGAGCTGGTCCTGGCCCAGCCAGCAGAGCCCAGCAAAGGGAGACTGGTTTGGCTTGTTGTTTGAGATGGGTGCCACAGCCTCTGGGTGCCTCAACCTCAGGAGCCTGATGTGGTAGCTCTTGAATCAGCAGCCCTGGCAGTGCCAGGAGTGGCTGAGGGTGCCAGGAGTGGCTGAGGGTGTCAGGAGGGGCTGAGGGTGCCAGGAGTGGCTGAGGGTGCCAGGAGTGGCTGAGGGTGCCAGGAGGGGCAGAGGGTGCCAGGCTCCCTGCACTCTGCCATGCCACGCTGTGGTCAGCTCTGCCTCAGGCTGCAGTGGAGCCACAGTGTGAACTCTCAGCTGAAACAACGCTCAGCAACCAGACACTGACATCTCCAAACCTTTCCAGTGTCAAGCAACCACAAGGTAATCAGTTAGTCAAGCTCCTCTACGCTACACAGAGGTGCACAGGGGCTTCTGCCCCTTCCCCTGAGAAGGGTGTTCCTGGGATGCAAATCCTCCCCAAGTCTCTTTGGAAAGAAGAATATATGAAGCTATCTGGTGTCTCTCTAGCTGGCACAAAAAGGACTGTGTGTGCCTTTCTTGTGTTTTATTACACAGCAGTCAGTGGGCTAAGCTGGCAGTCGGGCTGCTGCCTGTCAGCAGTGGAGATAGATGGCTGTGACAATGCCCCAAGGAGCAGGCTGGCTGGGGCTGAGTGCCTCCTTGGGAAGCCTCCCCGTTGTGCCAGGAATGCTGGCAGAACTGGCATGATTTCTGCCCCAGGAGCAGCAGGACTGCTCTGTGCTGCTGTCCCAGGAGGTGCCAGCAGCAGCCACACAAGATTAGTACTGTAGGAGCTGCAGTACTTTCCTCTAGGAAGGCAGAGGGAGATGCAGGTTCACCTTCAAAAGGTGCCCACTGACAGGTCTGATTTGCAGCCTATTGAGTCAGGGAGGATCCTTGCCTGAGAGGCACAGGAACTTCAAAAGTGCTTTTCTGCTGTGTAATTAGTTGCACTGTGAAGTGTAGGAGCCTTCATTATACTCTCTTTAGCATATTTTTCTCTCACGTGTCTCTTTTTTGCTCTTTGCTAAACCCAGAGCAGGAAGCAGCACAGCAAATGCATCAGCAATGGCTTTCAAAAGAAATACACCCTTGTGTGTCCTGAACCCAAAGCACTGCAGAAAGAGGGCCAGGAGAAAGTTAATCTTTACAGAACCTGACATGGACAACTCTTGTTGCAGTTTCAAAGCTGTTAATTTTCTAATAAGTGTTGGGCACACTGGTAATAACATCAGCAGAGCTTGGGGACTTAATGACAAGCTCGGAGAAGCAAGCAGCAAAAATCCAAGCAGGCTTTTGGACGTAAATGATGCTTAGTATTTTTCAAAGAAAAATATGTCATAGAAAGGAAAAAAAAAGAAGTCTAGGAGGAAAATCAGAGACCTACAAAGGCAATTAATGCCTAGGTAATTCAACTGCAGCTGGCAACAAATGATTCGCTTTGAGAGCTGGAGATGACATCCTGAAGGCTAAGAACTTAATAGGATCAATCTCAAAAATAATACAAAAAAAATTACTAAAGGAGGACAACCTAGCATTACAAAAAGGAATTAGAACAGTCAGGGAATGAGGCAGCCAGAGAAGAGATG